AGGAAGATGAGCGCGGCCTCCTCGGGAGGCCAACGTGGGGCCACAACCATCGTAAAAACAATGATTTTGGCTTCACAGAAGAGGAGGAGGCTACAAGAGTGCCCCCCCGTCGGGGCCAGAATCCTCGTGAGAGTCGTCGTTTTTTGGCCCTCCCAGGCGTCGAAAAAGACCCCCGTGACCACCCGCGGAACTCCCTCTCCAGGCCCAGGGGGAGGGGGTAGGGGGAGGGGTGAACCCCTCCCCGAAGGGGAAGAAGGGGGGTTGAGGACAGAGGGGGCTCTCTAAACCACTCACGCCCTAAAGGGCTGGTGGGACTACAAAACGATGAAGTAACGCATCGGACTCTTTATTGGTTTACTGATTTCTTGTGGTTGGCGGCCCATTTCCCCCTTCATCTTTTTGTCATTATGTCTTGTCTCTTTATTTCTCTCTCTCTCTCTCTCTGTCTTGTTCTCTCTCTCTCTGTCTCTCCCTCTTTCTCTCTCTCTCTCTCTCTCTCCTGTTCTGCTGTAAGTCGCCACACATGGTTTTACAATCCGCTTCACAAGGATTCCTTTTGTGTCGGACAGGGCCCACGGGGGTGTATTAGCCAAACGAGAACGCAATCAGTAAAGCATCGGATGTTCAGTTTTGTTTCATTGTTATCTTGTGGCTGGCGGTCGATATCTTCCGCTGTCTCTGTGTTTTCTTCCTTATGTTTTTTTTGTTCTCTCTCTCTCTCTTTCTTTGTCTCTGTCTCTGTCTCTCCAACTTACCACAACCGAGTCCTTATGTAAGCCTCTTGAGGGAGAATCCTTGTAATCTGCCTCAAACAGATTTAACGTTGTGACAGACGCACAAGATGGACGAGGGCCCAGGGGGGTACCAGCCCCCCCAAAAAACAAATCACAACAAACGCATCTAGGACCCTTAGCTTGTTTCATGTTCGCGAAAGGGAAAGGGGGGGGAGACGCTTCCCTCAGCTGACGGCATCTATACCTACACCATCGTGCCTGGCCAGAGTCATCCTTGGCCATGGCATGGGGTGTACGCCCTCCTGGGCCAGGCCAGGAGGGTCTATACACCGTCCTGAGGCCTACGATAGCCCTCGCCAGGTACGGTGGTGGTGCACAGATGCATTTTGCGAATCACCCCTCTTTTCCTTCCACCTCCCCCCCCCTCCCCCTGGTCCTCGTCCTCGTTGGCGCGCCTTCGCCCTGGGCCAGCCACTGGCTGGCGGCCTCGGCTCCAGCACTTGTCGTGTGCTGGCCACTGCGCAGCGTCCGATCACGGCAGGGAGGGCCATGCAGGAACTATGTGGCGAGGTCCAGGTCTTGGATATCCACGGTCACCCGACGGACTGGACCGGACCTGCCCGCAACCCCGATGGGTCTTGATTTCCTTGAAGATTTTGGGCCTTCTACAGATTTCCAGCGGAGCAGAATCCACCACGTCGCCTGGCGGGTCGGGCTTAGTATGTCCAGCAAGTGCTTTCCACATGGGCCCGGACATGGTGCCTTCAACCTCTGCGCTGGCGCGCATGAGATAAACCTTGACAGATCAAATTGAGTGGGTACGGGTCCGAATTCGGTTTGGGTTTGTGTTGCAGTGGATCTCAGAATTCCGTCCGCGTGGATCCGGTCTCACATGTTGTGTGGATTTGATTCCCGTTTTTTTCACACGGATCTGCAGTATACGTTTTTGGATTTTTTGCGTTTGTAAATCAGACCAGGGGGCCGAGAACCTTTGGATCCGCGGCGCCCAGGCCCGCCGTTTTCAAGATAATGCGTTGGCGGGGGTTTGGTTACGATTTGCCACAGACAGGTTGCGCGTGAGCGTTTTTTATACAATATTTTGCCGATCGGCGCGGGCCCTCGCACCACCCCCATGGAGTAGATCTTCGTTGTTTTTGGCGCCTGTCTGAGCAGGTGGAGTCCCTCCCTCAGACGCAGCTCTCTTGCAAACAGTCGCACTAAGCAGAGGTCCGGAGCCAGACCCTCCGCCCTTCCCTCCTTTACGCCCAATGTCGAAACGTCGAATAACCAAATCGTCTCACGGTTGCTATCAACCCTCACCGCACACGGGTCGCTTTCCTCATGAATGCATGTCTGCTCACCCTCTGGCCGTTGCAGGCAGCTTGCCAGACGCCCTGGGTTTGGCGGCGCCGACGCTTTCTCGCCAACAGCTTGTCGCCGCTGGCTCCTCACGGAAAACGTCTCTCGTCCTGCGTAAGTCGGGTCAACGTAAAAACGTATGAAAACACGTAAGTAAATTCTGAAGAAATCACGGGTCTCGGTCCTCGTAAGTGGGACAATCCCCAATGATTGAAGCACATAAGTCGGGTCGATGATGTTGGCCTCTCGATGACCTCTTGGAAATGGTCTTGAGGGTGTTTTGGGCTTGGTGGTGGCATCCTGGGACTTGTTAGGCGCGTTTTAGGGACCCTTGGGCACGTCTTGGGGCAATCTTGGACCATCTTGGCGGCCTTGGTGGTTTTCCTGTGCCGTGTTGGAAGTCTTGCAGAGCTTTGGAGAGCCCCAGGGAATCGTCGGGCCTCTCACAGAGTATCAGGAGAGGGGAGCGATGCTCGCCAGGGAGCGCTAAGAGAGGGTTCCGACGCCGCTGAGCCAAGCATCTGGAAGGACGCGTGGGCGGAAGAGCGCACGATTGGCAGATCTTCGGGACAAAGCTATGAATGGATCGGAGGTGAGGGGGTGAGATCGAAGTGGAACGGAGAGCCCCCCTACCGGGAAATCGATTTCGGTTTCGTGTTCGTGCGTGCCGTGCGTGCGGGCGAGGCGAAGCTGCGTGGGCGGGCGAGAGGAAAGTCTCCTGTGGCTGAGGCGCGGCCGGACCAAATGATTCTCCACCGGGCGGCCGGTGGCGCGCGGTGTCCCGCCGGTGTCCCGGTGGTGTCCTCTGTGGCTGAGGCGCGGCCGGACCAAATGATTCTCCACCGGGCGGCCGGTGGCGCGCGGTGTCCCGCGGGTGTCCCGCGGGTGTCCCGCCGGTGTCCCGTCGGTGTCCCGTCGGTGTCCCCATCATGATGTTGATGATGATGATGATGATGATGATGATTATGATGATGATGATGATGATGATGGTGATGATGGTGATGATGATATCGATCGTGAGATTGAATGTGATATCGATAGTGAGACCGAATGTGATATCGATAGCGAGACCGAATGTGAGATCGATTGTGAGATCGATTGTGATATCGATAGTGAAATCGATACTGATACCGAAAGCGAGATTGATTGTGAGATCCATTGTGAGATTGATAGTGAGATCGATTGTGAGATCGATTGTGATATCGATATTGAGATCGATAGTGAGACCGAATGTGAGATCGATAGTGAGATCGATAGTGAGATCGATAGTGAGACCGAATGTGAGATCGATGGTGATATCTATAGTGATATCGATAGTGAGATCGATAGTGAGACCGAATGTGAGATCGATCGTGAAATCGATAGTGAGACCGATTGTGAGATCGATTGTGAGATCGATTGTGATATCGATAATGAGATCGATAGTGAGACCGAATGTGAGATCGATTGTGAGATCGATAGTGAGATCGATAGTGAGATCGATAGTGAGACCGAATGTGAGATCGATTGTGAGATCGATAGTGATATCGATAGTGAGATCGATAGTGAGACCGAATGTGAGATCGATAGTGAAATCGATAGTGAGACCGAATGGGAGATCGATAGTGAGATCGATTGTGAGACCGATAGTGAGATCGATAGTGATATCGAGAGCGAGATCGATCGAGTGCGACGTTGGTCCCTCCCCCCCCCTCACCTCCTTATCACCCGAAGGGTGGTCGTATAGGTAGCAGAGGTATTGCGTAGTGCGAGCACACAGAGATGGCTGTGGGGCTGATAAGCGGAAGGCGGTACCCGTGATTGTGAAACAGAGAGTGAAGAAGAGACGGGGGGGGTCGGGGGCAAGAGGAGGAGCTGGAGAGGCAGACCGGCGGCTTCTCTACACAGACATCACACGGTTGCTGGGTCAATGTTTGTTTTCTTCGGTCCATTCTTGTCGGGGTCGCCCGCGCCGCCAGCGTTCTCCCTGAGTCTTTGCAGTACCGTGTGGTTGACATATGAATTGCTTTATCGGAGAATTGGTCCCGTTCGACGCTATATTGTCATGCATATTGACTTGTCTGCCAGATAGCACGTTGCGCCCCCGCCTTTTTCGGGCCAAGAACGGCCCGAAATGGCACAAGAGGCTCCGAAGATCGTCCCAAGAGGGCCCCAGAGGCCCTCGAAGAAGTGCCCGACAACGGTCCAGGAGGGCATCAAGACGGCCCAAGAGGGCCCCAGATCGGCCCAAGAGGCTTCCAAGACGGCCCCAAGAGAGCCCAAAACAGCTCCCAAGAGGGCCCCAATATGCCCCGAGTGAGTCCCAAGACGGCCAAAGGCTTCAAGACGCCCCAAGACAACCCAAAAGGGCCCCATGACGGCCCGAGAGGGTCCCCAAACGTCCGCGGGCCCCCAACAGTCCTTGATTAGTCCTAGAGACGCCAATCTCATCATGGTCCAAACAGCGAGTGGTGACGTAACAATCTTTAAACACCAAGGCTCCCCAGAGCGCGGTGACGTGAAACAATCGTAATTGCAAGGCTCATAAGAGCGAGCGGCAACGCAGAAGTCTCTGAACACCAGGGCTCCCAACAGCGAGAGGTGACGCAACTACCTCAAAGCACCACGGCTCCCCAGAGCGAAGGGTGCCATGAGCCATCTCTGGCGCGTTCCTGAAACGCTTTTTCCGGCCCCGTGCCGGCCTTGGCTCTAACACGCCTCAATGTGCTGAGGGCACGGCCGCTGATTTCAATCGTGCTCAGGATGTCGGGAAAGACGACCAGTAGGTTGCCAAGAAAGTGCAGGAGTACGAGGAGGGATACGTGGAGCAGGAAGCAAAGGGCGTGGACGAGGAAGGAATGGCCGAGGGACATGGGCTGTCCCTGCCTTCGGCCCTCGGCCCCGCAGCCGCACCCCTACTACCACAGCATGCCCTTTCTGCGCATGCCCAGGCCGCCGTCGACGCGTGGAGGAGGAGGAGGAGGAGGAGGAGGAGGAGGAGGAACTCCGCCGTCCAGGTGCCCCAACCGAACCCGAAGGAACGGGAGCGGGCCGAATTGGCGGGGGCGCCCCAGGATCTTCTGGGGCCCTTGAAATGATCAGCCCTCAGGCCGATCCAGAGCACAGAGGTGCAGCCCGGGCAACGCCCGAAGGGCCCGACCCAGACGAGGAGAAGGGGGAGGGGGAGACGGAGGAGGAAGGGGAGGACTGGGGGAGAAGGACCAGGGCTGGGCGAGGGAGGAGGAGGGGAGAAGGAGGAGGAGAAGGAGGAGGAGAGGGAGGCGGAGAAGGAGGAGAAGAATGGGGGAGGAGAAGGGGGAGGACTGGAGGAGAAGGAGGAGGGGAGAAGGAGGAGGAGGGGAGACGGGGGTGCAGTGGGGGAGAAGGTGGAGGAAAAGGAGGAGGGGGAGACGGGAGAGGACTGGGGACGGGGAGGAACGGCGGCGCGCCCAGGGAGGACGGCAGCGGGGCCGGTACTCCTCACGAGGCTCAGCAGGGCTGCGGCCTCTTGAGAGGCTGCGTTCGCCGCATGCGCAGGGGGCCTCGTCGAGAAGCGCCGTCGCCGCCTTGAGAGGGCCTGCCCCCGCTCGCTGCCCCCCTCGGGGCGCCGCCCGAGGGGAGGGAGGCGGGGATAGCCACAGGCACCGAGTTGGGGATCGGGAAGGGGATCGGGAGGGGGGTGGGGGGGAGGGAGGATGAGAAGCGCGTGGAGGGGAGGGGGGAAGGCGTAGCGGGCAGGGGCGGAGGGGGGGCCGCCCTCCCGCCTCCCGCCCTCCCGCGCCTTCTCGTGCCTGTCCTCCCGCCTTCCTGCCCTTTCGCTTCCTCCTCCAAGAATATGTCGCTCTTTCCTCCTGCTTCCTGTCCCCTGGCAGTGCCTCCTCCCGCCGGGCCACGGGTGGGTCGTGGGCCGGGTCGCGGGAGGGACGGCGACAACAGACAACAATAACAACATTCATTTCAAGATGGATCGTTCTTATCTGCTCACGTGGCAATCAATACGTATAGTTATCCCAAACCCTTGGTACCCGCCCTCGTCGTCTTCGATCGTGCCCCTTTGGGGGTGTATCCTCCTTACCTGCCACGTGTATTTATTAGTGCAGCCCCTAAAACAGGGGAAAGAAGACGGGTGGAAAGGGGGAGGGAGAAGAATGGAGCACGAGAGAAATTAGCAGGAGGGGGGCAAGGAACAGAAAACAAGTGGTAGAACCAGACGGGCAGATCGGGTGGCCAGACCCATAGCGGGCAGGTCGGGAAGGCGGGCCCAGGCGACCAGGTCGAGCAGGCGGGTTGCTGAAGCGTTGGTCCTGCGCGAAGCCCGAGGATGTCTCGAGCCATAGCGCGATTCCCAAGTACATCGTCAGAACAGCCAGAGCGAGAGCGTGATTCCTGTGCGCCGAGGGCGCACCGTCTAAATACATTGCGAGGGAGTTCCACGCGAGAGCGCGATTCCAACAACAACAACAACAACAACAACAGCAGCAATACTTTTAAGACTGTTCGCCCTTCTATGCTCGAGTGTCCAATAACTCGTATTCCCCAAACCCTCGATACCCGCCCTTTTCGTCTTCGATCGAACCCCTTTTGGGGGGTATACCTTTCTTCCCTGCAGGCCGGGCCCCGGCAAGCGGCGGGGCGGCCGCGGACCGTCGGCCTGGCCAGCGGCAGCGCTGAGCGGCGGGGCGGCCGCGGACCGTCGACCCGACCCCAAGAGGGACGGACAGGGGACCGACCACGACGACGACGACGACGACGTCGAAGACGACGACGACGACGAGCGAAAGCGAGAGCGAGAGAAAACGACAGCAGGGCCACGAAGGGCACGAAATAGGCCACGAAGGGCGACAGCGGGGACACGAAAAGAATGCGTATGGGGCCACGAAGAGCGCGAACGAGCGGGGGCCACGAAGGGCAGATAATGCGGGTCCATAGAACGCAACTATGGGGCCACTGAGAGTAGCAACTGGGCCACGTAGGACATTGAGGGGGACACAAATGGCGACAGCGGGGCCACGAAGGGCATGCACATGGGGCCACAACGGGCGCGGTTCATGGGTGCCTGGGTGTCGGGAGCGCGGCGCTTGGGCAAATTGCAGGAAATTGCAACGCAAGGCCTTTCTTCAGGAAGTTGCAAGCAAGTCTCCAGCGAGAGCGCGACTCCAGAGCGCCAGAAGAGCGATTCCTAAATAAATTGTAAGGAAGTCCCAAGCGACAGCTCGATTCTTTCATAAAATGCGAGGAAGTCTCGGGCGGGAGCGGGGGTCCTGGCTAAATTGTAAGGAAGTCTCGGGCGGGAGCCGTTGTTGTTGTAACCCCGGGGGCCATGGGTTCAGTTTAAGCATCAAGAGTTTCCCTGTCAAAAAACAGGGTGCGAGGGTCGAGGGGTACACTTTGATTGAGAAAAATAGTATGCACTGGCGGGGGGGACCAACAATAATTATTCTGCAGAAGTGAGAATACAACAACGACGACAACAACAACAACAACACCAACCGCAGCAGCAGCAGCAGCACCACCAACAACAACCACACCACCACCAACAACACCAACGGCAGCAACAGCAACAACATCAACAACAACAACAACACCATCAACAACAACACCATCAACAACAACAACAACAACACCAACAGCAACACCACCAACGGCAACAACACCAACGATAACAACACCAATCACACTAACAGAAACACCGCCACCAACAACAACGCCACCAACAGCAGCAACAAACACAATACCAACGTCATCACCCATATCAGTATCAACATAACCAGCAACAGCAAAACCAGCAGCAACGCCACCACCACTCATGTGAATGTTCCCTCCTATACGATCGCGTGCCTTACTTGCATCGTGTATTTCGTGCTGCCCTCAAGGCAAGGGAACAGAGGACGGATGGAAGGAACGGACACGGGGGAGGGAGGACGATGGAACACGAGAGAGAGAGAGAAAGTAGCACCAGAGGGGGGCTAGGAGCAGAAATCACGTGGCAGAACCAGGCGGGCAGATTGGGCGGGCAGACCCAAACAGGCGGGTCGGGATGGCGGCCCAGGAGGCCAGGCAGAACAGGCGGTTTGCTAAAGCGTGCGTCCTGCATGCATCGCGTTTCCCCAATGAGTTGCGCGGGGATCCACAGCGAGAGCATGATTCCCTGAGTGCCGAGGGCGCGGCGTCTGAATACATGGGGAGGAAGCACGAGTTTTGCATACATTGTTAGGAAGTCCCGCGCGAGATCGCAATGTGGGAATACACTCTGAGGAATCATTCGGCGGAAGCCGCTGTTGTTGTAGCTCGGGGGCCAGGGGCCCAATTCTGAAACCCAATGTCTTCTCTGATAGAAACAGGGTTCGAGCCCCGCGAAGGGCATTGCAATTGAAACTCACACTGTGCCCCAAAAGGGGGATAAACACATCAATCTTTATACTGATTGAGGGCTGAACAACAAAAGCGACGACCGAACCAACAACAACGACAGCAACAGCAGCAGCAGCAACAGCAAAACCAGCATCAGCAGCAGCATGAACAACAAACACAACAGCAACACCAACACCACCAACACCAGCAAGACCACCAACAGCAGCAGCACCAACAACAGCAGCAGCAGCAGCAACGGAGCAGCAGCAACAATATCAACACATTGCACCGCGGAATCCCACTTCAACCACGCACCCAGGGACAGCGAATGACCGTTCGCCCCCCCCCCCCTCACTCTGATGAAGGGGGGGAGGAGCAGGAGGAGGAGGAGGAGGAGGAGGAGGAATCCGAGGAGGAGGAGGAGGAGGAGGAGGAGGAGTGAAGAGGGATGGGGGGTGAGGCGTGAGAATGAAGGAGGAGGGAGGACAGAGCCTCCCTCGTGTATGGTTTTGCAGGGGAATTCAGCCATGCGGCGGATCCCACCCTTTCCCCAGGGTGGGATTCTCAGACCGAGAAGTTGTTCGATTGTCCCTGGGCCCGAACGTGACCGTCAAATATCAACAAGTATGACACATTGTCGTCCTGCTTTGCTTGTCGAGCCGGCCGATGTGTTTCGCGGTTCTCCCTCAGATATCCTGGACCCTTCAAGGGGTGCGTTTTGATTAGAATTTGGCGGCGCATCCACGCGTGGCCACGCGCATCCACGCGCGTCCCCAGGATCAACCTGTTGTTGGCTATCGCGCTGATCTGGGGCCCAGATCAGCGCGATAGCCAACAACACGTTGATCCTCGATCCTCGATCCCTCCTCCTCAGTTGGGGTTCCTGGGGAGCATCAGTTGCTTCGCCTCCGAACTTCCCACCTCCTTGGCCCTCCTGCATCCTCCTGCTCCCTGTACGTCCTCTCCTGCCTCAACTCCCAGAGAGGGACTGGGTTTAGGATGCATGTGTCCAGATGGTGACAATCGGGTTAGATGGCGTACCGCTCAATCGTCAATATGAGCGACCGCCCGACTGCAGCATCCTGCCGAGCAATCCCTGAACTCGTTCCGCCTATCTGCTTCATCCTCGTGATCCTTTGATTTCAGAGCAGCGGTCGGCATCCAGTGTAAATGGCTCCAGTTGGTTGGCACTATCCAAGCATATTTGTCATCCAGCCCAAGATATCCAAGCTTATCGCTCCCCAGCTGCTCGTTCCCCCTGCTGCAGGTTGGCGTCATGGAGTCTTCTCTGTCTTCGGGTAGAGGGTATGGCAGGCTGCGAATGTGTTCGTGGAAGGGCGCTGCATGCTTCAGCTCAGCAGTGCAGTTGTCGCGGGGAGTCAGGAGCCCCACTCCTGCTGAGCCTGTGTTCCTCATCCGTGCCCTCCCTCCCTCCCTCGGGGACCTGCGGGTCAGCTGCTGACTGACACTGCGCACATCCCCTCTGGCCAGTTTGAGCTTGGAGGAGTCCCCTTCCCATCGGCTGGGGAGCTGGCAGCTCTCATCGAGTTCGGGAGCATGCCTAGAAGATGGGGCATCGGAATGTCGCAGGCCTAGAGTT